GGAGAGATAGGAGCAATGACCCTCCTTTGCTCCATTTCTGGCATTGCCCTGAGAAAACTGTAAATCCGATTGAAATGAAACATGCTGGTTTGCAGCTAACGGATATACCTTCATTTTGAGCTATAAATCACGAATGCACTCCTAACTTTGTGGTCGTACAGTTCATTTCTTTGAGAATATTCAAAATAAAAAAAAAATGTCTCACCACTCTAAACTGAAACTTCCACACTAACTTTTGACCTTCACATTTTCTGGAAACAACTCTTTGCAACACCCAGACTGTTTGGAGTACCAAAACAAATCATATCTCAAAAAGTAGGAATTTTTGTCAGCTTTTCAGAATGGGTTTCATTTTGTCCTTAAGTGTTACCCTTCTTTCGCTACAAGCCTCAGAAGGAGGAGAGACCCTGATTCTGTCTCATTGAAACCCATGTTAAAGAAACTGAGATTTTCTCCTCCGATTGGCTTCAGACAGCTAAAATGTTCTCGTCATAGCTTCTAGACAATTCATGGTAGGCAACTAAAAATTCACACAGATGACCATCAAAGCCTTCTGCCGCTCATGCTTTTTGAATTTTTCCAATAGGTGCAGGAGTTTTTGAATGGCGATGAGACGTGTCAGAGGTCTGAAATGACATCTGAGCATCATGTTAAATGCATGATTTATGAAATCTTGAAACAAAAATTTCCACCGACCACATCTTTTATAGTACACTAATGATTTTCTCAAATTTAGTAGTTTTTTTTGTCAGCTTCAAAGTGATGTCCTCGGTTTTGCTGTTGGTATTACATTTTTTGTGCTACAAGCTCCAGAAGGACTGTGCCAGCTTTCCGTCATTTAAACCCCTTTAAAAAAAGGGCAGCTGTGGCCGACAGACAGCTGAAATGTTCTCCGCATATCTTGTAGAACATTTGTGTTAGGCACACAAGACACACATGACCATCAAAGCCTTCTGCCGCCCACACGTTTTGAATTTTTCAAATCGGTGCAGTACTTTCCGAATGGTGATGAGAAGTTTGACAGGTCCAATTTCAGTTCTGAAGGACAGATTTAAAGGCTTCTCTCATTAACAGGAATACAGCTGCATGTCTCCAACAGCCGGGGGAAAAGGCGGGAAAACGGTGCTGCTCTTTGATTGGTTGAGAGTGTTCAACCATTTTCTGTCCAAGCAGGATCGAGCACCCACACATATGATACATCAAAACGACCAGCTTGGTCTCAGGAATCTTGTATTAAATTTTACATGCGTTCTGTTACCATGGTAACACAAGTGCATAAGGATATCCTCAAACAAGTCTCATTTAAATGAATGTGAAAAGCCTAATATTGAGCCTATAACATACTGCTGTTTTTTTAATCTTTCTGAGCTCTATACACTTAAAACTAGCAGCATAGCTGACATTTTAACACTAGTCAGAAGGCAGGAACTGCTCCCTCCTCCTTCGCTGCTCTCATTGGCTGAGAGTTTTCAATGTTTGCAGATTTCAGTTTTCTGCTGTTTAAGATAATTTTTCTCTATTATTCACTTACTTTTTGTGCTTTGCTTGGTTGTTGGTGCTTTTTGCTTCTACATCTTTCAATACATTCAGCTCATTTTGACAGTTTTGCTTAGTTTCAGCTTCAGTTCAGCTGTTCAGCAGCTTCAGCTTGCAGTTTCAGCTATCCAGCATTCAAACAGCATTTATGCAAGAAATGCAATTTATCTAGTTAATTCAATTCAATCCAAAGATACTTTATTAATCCCAGAGGGAAATTAGTTTCAGTACACACAATTCTGAGATCAGACATACATAGGCAAAGACAAATGACAAGAATTGGTGACTGTGGTCATTCGCAACCCAAGTCGCGCTACCTTAATAGAGATCAGAGGGGTTTACATGAGGATTGGGTCAGGTGGACGAAAAAAAAAGGCACTTCAGAGTTATCCTCCACAGGGAGGGCAGCTTTGCTATGCAAAAAACACCTCAGACAGAAATGCAAAAGACTTCAGACATTACACAACATAAGTGTCCACTAGGTGGGGTGGTAGGGTTTGGGACTCTCCACATGTCAGTGAATACAGCTGCGATAACCTCAGTCTGGACAGGGGGAGGAGGTCGTTGGGTTTAGAGGGCACAGTGACACTGGAACGATTCAGCGGCCTTCGCAGCTTGCAGTCCTGCCCAGGCTGGGATAGGGAGACAGAGTTGCCATGGCGACGGCAGCATTCCACATTTCTTCGGGGGGGGGGGGGGGGGGGGGGATTCGTTTCAGCTTCAGAGGCACTCACATAGTTACTTTGATCTTTCACTTCAGTAAAAAGGTGTCATGTTTTTTCTTGTCAGAAGCAGAAACGCAGGGTTTTAAATGCTTGTGTGTTTGGGAGTGTTAAAACCCTGGGACTGAACATACTGGGAGTTTGAAGTGAAACAGCTTTTTAGTCAGAAACCCCTCAAACTGCAGCTCGTGCTGTGTTTCTGGGAAATGTGTTTGACTGTCATCGCTTCAAGTGGCTGACGGGACCGGGAATAGGAAGTGGGCTTGTGTTTATTTATTGCAGTAGCTGAACCGCTCCTGCATCAAATATACAAAAAAGACACGACTGACACGCTAACAGGGAAGGCTGTCAGATCTGATTTCCTTCATCTAAGACAGAGATAACACCAAAGGGAACACCTCACAGACAGGGAATAAATCAAAAGACTATCAAGATGGCTACACGAGGAAGCATGTCAGCTAACCTCAGGAAAAAAATTAGGAATAATTATTCAAATCAGACAGCAAACTGGAGCTCATACTTTTCTATAGAACATTCTCCTCAAAACTATAGACAGATTCTTAATCCTATGTTACTTTTCTAACTAAACTCTAGACGTTTTATGATCTTGTAATGACTTTATTCATTATTATGACCTGCACATGTAACACTTTTCTGAATGAGGGACTCCAAAGTGCTTCACACTACAGTTGGTCATTCACACATACACTCACCTAAAGGATTATTAGAAACACCTGTTCAACTTCTCCTTAATGCAATTATCTAATCAACCAATCACATGGCAGTTGCTTCAATGCATTTAGGGGTGTGGTCCTGGTCAAGACAATTTCTTGAACACCAAACTGAATGTCAGAATGGGAAAGAAATGTGATTTAAGCTATTTTGAGAGTGGCGTGGTTGTTGGTGCCAGACGGGCTGGTCTGAGTATTTCACAATCTGCTCAGTTACTGGGATTTTCACACACAGCCATTTCTAGGGTTCACAAAGAATGGTGTGAAAAGGGAAAAACATCCAGTATGCAGCAGTCCTGTGGGCGAAAATGCCTTGTTGATTCTAGAGGTCAGTGGAGAATGGGCCGACTGATTCAAGCTGATAGAAGAGCAACTTTGACTGAAATAACCACTCGTTACAACCGAGGATTGCAGCAAAGCATTTGTGAAGCCACAACACGCACAACCTTGAGGCGGATGGGCTACAACAGCAGAAGACCCCACTGGGTACCACTCATCTCCACTACAAATAGGAGAAAGAGGCTACAATTTGCACCAGCTCACCAAAATTGGGCAGTTGAAGACTGGAAAAATGTTGCCAGACCTGATGAGTCTCGATTTCTATTGAGACATTCAAATGGTAGTTAGAATTTGGCGTAAACAGAATGAGAACATGGATCCATCATGCTTTGTAAGTGGTGGTGGTGTAATGGTGTGGGGAATGTTTTCTTGGCACACTTTAGACCCCTTAGTGCCAACTGGGCATGGTTTAAATGCCACGGGCTACCTGAGCATTGTTTCTGACCATGTCCATCCCTTCATGACCACCATGTACCCATCCTCTGATGGCTACTTCCAGCAGGACAGTGCACCATGTCAAAAAGTTCTAATAATTTCAAATTGGTTTCTTGAACATGACAATGAGTTCACTGTACTACAGTGGCCCCTGCAGTTATCAGGTCTCAACCCAATAGAGATTCTTTGGGATGTGGTGGAACGGGAGCTTCGTGCCCCAGATGTGCATCCCACAAATCTCCATTAACTGCAAGATGCTATCAAGATCCTATCAATATGGGTTTTCAGCACGTTGTTGAATCGATGCCATGTAGAATTAAGGCAGCTCTGAAGACGAAAGGTGTCAAACACCGTATTAGTATGGTGATCCTAATAATCCTTTGGGTGAGTGTAGATGGTGATGAGCTACATCAGAGCCACAGCTGTCCTGGGACACTAATGGAAGCACAGGCACCAGTGTCTTGCCCGTGACTGCAGGAGCCAGGGTTCCAACCTGCAATCCTCTTGGTAGAGGGAGAACATTTGAGGTGGTTCCACCATGTCCACCATTACCAAAAGCCAACAAACTCTCTTGCCTCTTTTCTCTTTTCGTTAATTATAGTCGTTAGACATCAGTCAGAATCGATCAAAGCCTAGATGGGCAGAGCTCTGAGGAATCAGAAGTTGGTAACGGCCCTGAGAACTAGAATCTACATCTTTTATAAAATCTAAATGACAACAAGCACAAACAATGGGAGAAATGCTGCAGATGTTTGGTGAGGTTCAAAAAACCTGAGAATTAAATGTAATATTTTAGGACAGTTTGATGATTTGTTGTTACAAACTGCCTTACTGGAATATTATCGGTGTTGGCGTATCGCATCATATCATGATCCTTCTTCTCTGACTGATATCCACACGTTGAACAGAAAACCATCATGTGATCTCTGAGAGCGCGATAAGGCTCTTCTATCTCACCGAACACTCAAAGCTGATTTATCTCACTTTTGTGTAACATGTGGGCTGACTGGTTAATTCTATAGCTGATCTCTGATGTTAGTGGCGATGAGATGCAGTGGTGAGTCATCTGTCCCAGGAGAAAGTTTCCGTGAACCGCAGCAGAGAAAAGGTCTGAAGTGTTTGTGACTCATCTGTAGAACTCAGAAGGACTCAAAAAACCTTCATCTGACAGATCTCACCTCCTTTAGATCCTCTGGGTGTTTATCACAATGTTTCTGTGGTTGTGTTGGTGTTTCAGATCTGTAATTACCAGGGTAAGGCCCGGGTGGTGGTCCAGCTGGTGACGGCTCTGACCCCCATGCCTCAGCTTCATGCTCACAGCCTGGTGGGGAAACTGTGTGACAAAGGCATCTGCATCGCAGAAATGCAGTCCAAAGACTCCAGCATCAGGTCTGCATCACCCACACACAACCTGAAGCTTCTCTGTTGTAAGACTTGAAGAGCCGAGCAGATTAAAATGATCAGGAACTCTTTGTTCAGTCAGACGAAGAAACTAATGCTGCAGGAAATCAGTGACTTTTTAAGAAATGTCCAGAATGAGGAGAGGGGAAAGTAGAACGAGTCACAGCAGTTCAGACAGACAACAGATCTGTGTTCTAACAAGCCATGGGTGAGAGCTCCTAACATCTTCAGTTTTTTTTTTCTTTCAAATATTAAAACAAAGAATGAAAAAAATGTTTTCTTTTGGCTTGTAATTTGTATGGAGGTAAGATATCAACGAGTCGATGTAACTTTATTTGACCTGTCTGACAGTAAATGCTGATCTGTTTTCTTGATTCTAAAATAGAGTAAGAACTGAACACACCTTCAGTTCTGTGCTGACAGTAACTTTTGTTTCTGTTAGTTTTCCCAACCTGGGGATCCTCCATGTGACCAAGAAGAACGTGGCAAAGACTTTGGAGGAGAGGATGGTGGAAGCCTTCAGGATGGGGTACAGCTGTGGGGTCGCCATCCACCCTGAGATCGACGTGCTGCAGGGGGAGGTCCGAATCCCACGAGAACTCTCAGGTCAGTCGCTGGTACCTGCCTCTACCAGTCAGAGTGCTTCATCTTCTTTAAATACAGAGAATTATCATCATCATCATCGTCATCATCAGTTTAAGGTCCACCTTAACAACATCATAAAGCTCAAAATAAGGTTGATGTTTCATCCAATTACTTTTGCTTTTGTTGAGCGTCACTCAGATCAGTGCTCCGATCAGCTGATCTGCTAATGCATTCATTAGCTCACCCATTTTGGCTCGCGACGGGGAATTTCCAGGAAACAGCAGAGCACGTCTCTGCTTGTAGAAGCTAACCGTTAGCATTAGCTACCCTACCACACAGCAGAACTCCTTCAGGTTTGTGTTATTTGTGGAGATAAAACATCAACTTTGCAGAATAAATGGAGTCGGTGGTAGAGTTGCATTGCTGTTAGCCAATTGGAAGCGAGATCTTCTAATATCATGAAATAAGACTCCAAACCGTCCAACGTCATCTGAAGCGCTCCTCTGCTCTGGCTCACTTTTAGTTCTAGAGCTTTTTCCTGCAGAGATTGACTCACAAGGCATTCATTTGTACTAGAGATCACAACAATGTGTTGGATCAAAGTGTGTACTTGGTCTTACTTGACTGGATAGACATTTATTTTTATTTTCTAAACACATTCATCGTTTTTAATTTTATTTTCACAGTTAATATTTTTCAAATTTGAGATTTTTTATTTTTTTTTATTTCAGAAGTTTTCTAAAACTGAGGACAAAAGATTAGAAATTGTAGAGAATAACTCAAACTCAGCCTTAGAGATAGGGTGAGGAGCGCAGACATTCGGGAGGGACTCTGGGTAGAACTGCTGCTCCTCCGGATCGAAAGGAGTCAGTTGAGGTGGTTTGGGCATCTGGTCAGGATGCCTCCTGGACGCCTCCCTGGGGAGGTGTTTCGGGCATATCCTGCCGGCAGGAGGCCCCCGGGTCGACCCAGGACACGTTGGAGAGGTTACATCTCCAATCTGGTCCGGGAACGCCTTGGGGTCCTGCCGGAAGAGCTGGTGGAGGTGGCCGGGGAGAGGACGGTCTGGAGCTCCCTAGTTGGGATGCTGCCCCCGCGACCCGGACCCGGATAAGCGGAGGAAGACGACGACGACGACAACTGAAACTTTAAAAGAAATTTGAAAAATGATCAATCAAAACTCAAGATAAGAACCGATAAAAATGAAGCGATCAAAGCTTCACTTTTCAACTTGTGTATTTTGTGTTTTACATCTCAGACCACCAGCGCAACATCATCAGCATAGCAGCAGCCAATCAGGCCAAAGAGATGGACCTCAGCGTGGTTCGGCTCATGTTCACCGCCTTCCTCCCCGACAGCGATGGAGGCTTCTCCAGGCGGCTCGAGCCGGTGGTGTCAGAACCAATCTACGACAGCAGTGAGTCCAATTGCACAGGAACACAGAAATGGACCAGTCTTACTCATAGGCGGAGGTCTCGGGGGGACGGGGGGGCACAACGTCTGATTTGTTATTTTAATTATGAATTTTTACAAGCTCATAAATCTCTAAGTAAGTGATGGACATAATCAAAACACAGGAATATTTATCATTTAAAGTACAACATATGTGTGATTCAGGGTGAACGGCAAAGCGGGATAGAAAATCGCTTTTATAGCCCCGTTAACTTCCTTTCATTTATTCTTTGTTCCGGGGACTGAAATCAAGTTCTGAACCGTGGAATGCTGAAATCACAACTAACCATCATGGATCCCACCAGATTTGTGTCAGAGCAAAATTAAAATCCTGCTCTGGATGTTGGGCTGCATGAAAGTGCAGCGGTTCACATTGTAGACTCACAGGAACAGGGTGGCAGGTTCTAATCCTGACTGGGCCTCTCTGTGATATTTGTGTTCTCCCCGTGTTTGCTCCAGGGTCTCTGGTTTCCTGTCACCCCTAACAGTTGAGTTTGTTGAGTTAAGTCAGCTTTATTTATATAGTAGTTAGCATAAAAGCTGATCAAACTGCTTAACAACAATAAAAACAAGTACACTAAAGGCAACAGCAATGCTAAAGATAACATTATGCTAAAAATCCTCAAAACATAAAAACCGAACAATGCATAAAAGAAGGAGCAGAAGAAAACCGTCACGCTGAAATAAACAGAACTGAAAAGTGATCTAAGGCTAGGGATGTCCCGATACAACTTTTTCTCTTCTGAAACTGTACCGATATTGCAGCCTTCAGTACTCACCGATACCAATCCGATCCGATACCTATTTCGTAGTTTGGAATGTATGAAAGACTTAATCAAGTGATATTACTCAATCGGAGAACAAAAGCCAGCAACAGTAAGAACCGACCAATTTTTTATTAACCATTGGTTTCATAAATGTGAACCTTAAACACAATGTGTAACAAATGAATAAAAAATAAATAAATGAAAAGACTAAGAATATTTTGAGTAAACAAACAAAAATAATTATTTTAAAAGTGCTAAATATTGATTCAAGGTCACTTCAGTTATGTTTTATTGTTGGCATATGAACTGCTGAGGGCAGGGACATATGGAAAAAAATCACAATATTGTCCATTGACAAACTGTTACAAGTTGAGTGTCCTAAGTTTCAATTTCACACACTGCAAAAATCCTCGTGCAGTATTTTGTGAGGCTGTTTCAAACGTGCAATGAGGTTGGATGCATTAAACTTTCCCGGTTCTGTTCCACCCTGGGAAATTTGTCTATGGCAAATGTTGCACTGAGCCACACTGTCATTTACGGACTTTAACAAAAACTGCTCCCACACGATTGACATAGCTCTTGCTACTTTGCTAACATGCACTGTTCTGATCACGTGGGCTTTGCATGTTGAATCTGGGAGCTGCTGGATAGAATTGCTGGAATGAAATTCGAAGTGGAACAGATTCCTTATATCAGATATTTTTGATGTAGTCCAATATAATCCGATAGTGCTTTTGGGTCGATAGACTTATTTCCGATATCGGAACTCGACATCCCTATCAACAAGTGAGGAGGCCATCCTAATATATAATGGCAGCGTGTTCCACGACATTGGGGCTGCTGCCAAGAAACCTCTCATCTCTGAGTTTCCACTTCATTCTCAGCACCTCAGGAGCTGATCAGTAGACTTCAGGAACTGAGACAAGAGTGAGCAACCAAGGGCTCAGAAAGACACTGGGAGGCTAGGCCATGTAGCCATTTAACAGCCCTTTATACTGACCCTAAAGTTAACAGGCAGCCAGTGAAGCTACTTCTGCTCTGCTCTGGCTAAATTCTAGCTCCTGAAACAGCAGCACCAGAGCCGTTTTCCACTCACAAGCCATTTGTTTACATTAAAGACCACTGCAGATTTATTGAAAACATGATTGAACTTGGTCTTTAACTATTTTATCTGACAGAAAAGCCTAGGAGCTGTCGCCTGGTTGGGTTTCTGCCTCTGTTCTTTGCTTGTTTGGAACATTTCACTGAATTTGTAGATCTAAACAGTTGAAACTTTTCCCTTTTCAAATGAACTCACCTAGCTTGTGAGTGGTGGAGATCAAAGACGGAGCCAGATTATAATCTGACTTTGCCTCTGATCATTTGAACCTTCTGCAGGGTGAGATTCTTTGTTTCCTGGTTTCGTTTCCTTCCTCTTGCTGCAACGTTTTCTCAGACAACAGAAACCTGCTCTGACTTCACCACTACAGTCCTACAACCTTTCTGTTTGTCTTCACTGTTTATTTTCATGTTTTACAACCAGAGCTTGTAGAAGTGTTTGCATGTTTTGGTTTCTGCTTTCCTCCTGAAGTTTTCTGTTGCATCTTTAACGTGTGATGATCCCTGTGTTACGTTTGTTTCCTCCTGCGGTTTTCTGTTGCATCTTTAACGTGTGATGATCCCTGTGTTACGTTTGTTTCCGCCTGCGGTTTTCTGTTGCATCTTTAACGTGTGATGATCCCTCTGTTACGTTTGTTTCCTCCTGCGGTTTTCTGTTGCTTCTTTAACGTGTGATGATCCCAAGGGGGCTGCCAGAGATTTTGGGCCCCATGAAAAAATATCAAGTTGGGCCCCCTGGGGGCTCGTCCATAGCTGGAGCTGGGGTTCCACCCTCCCAGATTCGAAGGGAGAAAAAAAATTTATATACTTTATATTAGTGTTTCAGTTTTGCTTAATTATGTAGGCCTACATGCATTCTTACTTATTTACATATCATTTTCACCATTTGTCTCTCAGTAAACAGTGAATTTCCTTCAACAGAATTAGCAATATCACTGCTGGAAAAAGCAGGAAATGCACAAGCTGAAAGGTGTTAATCTCCTTTTCCCCTTTACTCCCTTAAAATTTGTTTATTTATTCTAAAATTTTATTTGATGATAAAATTCAAATTTGGATATCTAATTAAATTTCCATGTTGTGTCAAAGCTTTGCATAACTACATTTTCAGCTGTCTTTCCTCTTGAAATCAAGTATTTCTGTATGACTGACAAAAATTAAGGATTCACTGTTCACAAGGTGACTTCTTTATTAAGTCTCCATGGCTTCATCATAGACACAAAATGAATAAGCACACAGTTCAAACCGGAGTCAGTTAGGGTTACATAAAATTTTAAAGTTGGACAACTTTGCATGAATACGTATATAAGTCTTTAGAAACCCATTTTTCTCAACAACAACAAAAAAAAACAGCTAAAAATATATTCAGCCTTGATTGTACACAACAAGATTTATTATTTACAGTGATATAATTAATAATGCTCCTGAGTGACATACTTGGTGACGGACTAAATAACAATGCTTCAACCTGCCCAGCATCAAAAACAATCTATACATTTTTACTGATTGATATATATAATTATCATTATGTGGGAAAAACAATGTGTTTATCACCAAAATATTCTTTTTATATTCCTTTGTAATAGTACTGATAAAGAAGAGAGCCTTAAGTGATTCCCACAGAGCCCCTAAATGAGGCTTCTAGCTAACAAGCTACATTGCTCACCTTCTTGAGGTTCATTGGGTTGTGAGGGGACACCTGCTGACATATCATCAGCTGCTGATTCTGGTTGGGACAAGGACGACAACCCACTTACCATAATTAGATGAAACATAGTTCCTCTCTCTGTGGATATCAAAGCTAGCAAACAGGTTGAATTTAACCACTCACTAACTAAACCCACCTTTCTTTGAGAAAAACTGTGTGACATACTGACGCCCTGTCTTCTGCCTGTCCTTTCTCCTTTCTTTCTTTCCTTCTCTGTGACCCAGACTTTGTTTTTGCAGACATGCAGCCTTGGCGCACTCTGCTGTCTGATTGCTGCGTGAGCTAGCCTGGCCTGCTACACGCTCCTCGGCCAGGTGGACTGTACCATTTTATGCCGTTAGGTGGGGGGGGGTTGTTCAAATTAATTAGTCAAAATAAAGTAGGGACCTATGAATAAATACACATTTCATAAAGACTAAAAGATTGTTTGTTTAATGTCTTAAATGAGAAAAAATACTGCAAAGTAAAGTACTTGTGATTTTTAAACTTTATTTATTTTTTATTCAACTTTGAAACTTTTTTGGGCCCCTGACAGCTGTGGGCCCTTAGAATCTTCCTAATATTTCACCGCTTTATGGCGCCCCTGGATGATCCCTGCGTTACATTTGTTTTCTCCTGAAAGCAGCTGTAGAAAAGTTTTCTGAAGTGGTATTACTTATTTTTAGCTGAGGATGCGTTATGTAAAAGTGAGAAACAAGTTCTGATTTCCTGAATCTTTCGCAGAAGTGGAGAGATTTAGGAGAACAACCTTGTCAACTTACAGGCTCATCTCAAAACTCCCTTTTCTTTCCAAACTGCTGGAGAAAGTTGTGTATTCACAATTGGTTTCCTTTATGGACACAAATGATTTATGGGAAACCTTTCAGTCAGGGTTCAGGAAAGGCCACAGCACTGAATCTGCTCTTTTAATGGTTTTTAATTACACGTTTTTAGCCTGTGACATGGACAATGATGTTGTTCTGCTATTGCTTGACTTATCTGCAGCTTTCGATACAGTCGACCACGAAGTCCTTCTGGACCGACTACAGCATTGGGTGGGGATAACTGGGCAGGCCCTCCAATGGCTTCGCTCTTATCTTCAAGACAGGACATTTAGTGTTCAGATGGGTGAGGTAACGTCACCCAGCGTGAAACTTCGTTGGGGTGTGCCACAGGGCTCTGTCCTTGGTCCTCTCCTATTTGCAGTGTATTTGCTTCCTCTTGGAGTCCTCCTTCGCCAGCATAATATGAAATTTCATTTCTTTGCTGATGACTGCCAGATCTATCTCCCTCTTCAACGTGGGGAGGATAGATCAGTTTCTCATTTACTGGATTGCTTGAAGGACATAAAATGCTGGATGGCTTCTAATTTTTTGCACCTAAATGAGAGCAAAACGGAAGTTATAATACTTAGTCCTGGCAGAAGAAATGGCTCTGGTGCTGATATTGACCTTGGCCCATTGACACCCTATGAAAAGAAAATGGTCAGTAATTTGGGGATTAAAATCGACTCAGCACTTAATCTTGACACTCATGTAAATACAGTGGTGAGGTCCTGTTTCTTTAACCTGAAAAGACTATCCAGGATCAGGCCTCTGCTGTCCAGAGCTCATCTGGAGTCTGTGTTGCATGCCTTCGTCCTGTCTCGGCTGGACTACTGCAACGCTCTGTATGCTGGTCTGGCCCAGTGCACGGTTGCACGGCTCCAGTTTGTGCAGAACTCTGTGGCTAGGTTCCTGACAGGCACTAGATGTCGAGAGCACATTACCCCAGTGCTGGCTGCTCTGCACTGGCTCCCGGTAAAATATCGAGCTCAGTTTAAAATCTTAACTCTCGTTTATAAGGCCCTCCAGGGCAGTGCCCCCTCGTACATTACTGCGCTTTTGAACAGGTATGCTTCATCTCGGTCTCTTCGCTCAGCCGAGCAGGAACTTCTGGTGGTCCCCCGGTCGAAATTTCGATCGAGGGGTAGTCGTGCTTTTTCTATTTTGGCTCCAACTCTGTGGAACGAATTGCCACTGAGCATTAGGCAGGCACCATCCCTTCAAGTCTTTAAGTCTCGTTTAAAGACTCATTTTTATCTGATTGCGTTTCAGCGCTAGGGTCACTTGAATTGCCCTAACATTATGGTTTTAACTATTCTTCTTTTTAAACCGGATGCTTGATTTTATTTTGTCCGACATTTGTTTTTTTTTATCAATTGATCTTATTCCAATATCTCTTATCTGTAATGCTGTTTGCTTGCTATTTTATGATTTTATGTTTTTATCCTGCTTTTATGCCCATGTATTGAGAATGTTTTTCTTTTAATGATGTTGTTCAGCACCTTGGGCTTCGGATAATGTTGTAGAAGGTGCTATACAAATAACATTTGATTGATTGATTGATTAATCATGTTCTTGTGACAAATCGTAGATTTTGCAGCATTGTTCTGAGTTAATTTCATATTTCCAGAAGGTCAGTTATCAAACATTGACACGTTTACGTTATATTATAATTAAATCTTAAAGGTACAGAAGATAAAAAGAAAAGCTTCTAACATCAGCTGTTTTTTTACTGGCTAGTCTGAACAGTCACGTTAACATCTGAAGGTCCCACTTTAACCGATAAAAGGAGACAATAATGTTTTAGTTGCATTTGGAAAAAACTGGAATTGATTCATATTTTCACCTACCCGATAACTGCCGATATTTTTGATTAAATCAACTCTTTACTGATTGATTAAAAAGACAAATGTTTTAAAGAAACTGTTTCCAGGTGAAACCCGACTCGTTTTTGAATTCAGGAAAAGACCCGGTGATCGGTTTCTCTTTGCTGTTTATTTACAACGGTGAACAGTCTGTTGTCTTTTTCTTTCCTCAGAGGCTCCGAATGCGTCCAATCTGAAGATTGTGCGGATGGATCAGACTGCTGGCTGTGTGACTGGAGGCGAGGAAGTCTACCTGCTCTGTGACAAAGTCCAGAAAGGTCAGGGAGGGGGATTTTTTTCTGTTGCGTTACTCAATGACCTGGAAGATGCTGGAGCACGAAACCAAAGCCTTAAAAGTGTGATACCTGACAGTTTAGTGCCGTGGGTGTTGTTCCACAGCCGCTCTGCTGGGTGCTGATTTTATCCTGCAGGTATTTCCTGGTTGGACGCTGATTGCAAGAGTTGTTTTTTAATTTGGAGTAAGTTAAATTTAAGGGACTTCCCCTTATATGCAAATCCCTTAGGAGGAAGAGATGTGCTGCATTATGTTGCTTTCCTGTTGTGAGCCTTGGTTTGGTCCCAGTTTCAGACATGTTACTGTACGGAAAAAGAACCAATGTATTTGTGTGTGTGTGTGTGTGTGTGTGTGTGTGTGTGTATGTGTGTGTGTGTGTAGATGATATCCAGGTGCGGTTTTATGAGGAGGATGAATCGGGGCTGACCTGGGAAGCTCTGGGAGATTTCTCCCCCACAGATGTCCACAGACAGGTCAGTACCTCCAAAAACAGCAGGTGGAACATTCATTGTTCCTGATAAACTAAAGCAGATGGCCGCCAACACACACTTTGTGTCTGGAGTAAGGAAGGTGTCCTCGTTGCCTAACTGCATCATGATGTTTAGGTCCACACCCATCCAAGAAGATGTCTGAGTTTAACTCATTGAACAATGAAAACCTCTTTAAAATCTCAACTCGACTGGAACTTTATTTGTAAAGCACTTTACAGACACAAGTAAAAACAACACGTGACATCTGATATGAATCAAACCGTAAGAGATCAGAATAAAATAGCAACAGTATCAGTCACACCACAGAGTTAAAAGACAGATAATAAATACGGATATTCGGCTTTGATTTAAAAACCGCTACGGTTGAAAACTGCCAAATGTGCAATGGAGGCTCATTCCAGAGTCTTGGAGCTGCCACGGAAAAAGATGTTTCAAATCTCACAAAACACAATTACAGCAGCAGTTCACTGCTCTTAGATAAGTGCACTCCCCATAACCTGTGAAGCTAGCATCTGAGAAGTGATGTAGCTTGTACTGCTTGATATCTATGAAGCTTGCTGGTATGTAGCACCTCTTAATTTTTACTTGACACAAGTTATGGAGATCTTGTAACCATGACTGCCACTGTGATCTGCACTCCTCTGAAAGTGGTTCATCCCAACTAACTTTCTCTCGACTCAACTGTTGCAAGATAAACTTACCACGCAAAACAAACGGTGCTACGAAACCCAGAGGATCGTAGATGGAAGCTACTGTGGATAGCACTCCCCTTCTCGTCATCGGGTGTTTCTTGACAGTTACTCTGAACTGCAAGTCATCAGAGGATACGCACCATTGCACGCCCAGTGCTCTTTCTAGGAGTGGCTCCCCTAAATCTATGTCCAGCTCTTTGACACTGTCAGCACATTCTTCCCTTGGTATTGATTCCAATACCTTCTTGCTGTTGGAAATGAACTTGTGCAGTCTAAGCTTGCCTGCACTGCAAAGCTCTCTAGCTTCCTTGATCAGTTCAATTGCCTCCGCATCAGACCCTACACTCACCAGTCCATCATCAACATAAAAATTTCTTCGGATGAACCTGACAGTGCTTTCGTTAAATCGATCCTGACCTTCTGTGGCTAGATGTTTAAGTCCATAATTGGCACAGCCAGGTGAAGAAGCTGCTCCAAACAAATGGACTTTCATCCGAAAAACTGATGGTGGAGCCTCAAGATTATCATTCTCCCACCATAAGAACCTCAAGTAGTCTTGGTCTTCAGGCTTTACATGGAATTGATGGAACATTCTTTCCACATCACACATAATAGCGACTGGGCCTTTTCGAAATCTACAAAGAACTCCCACCAAGGTGTTTGTGAGCTCAGGACCTGTAAGAAGGTAGTCATTCAATGACATGTCTTGAAATCTTGCCGAGCAATCAAAGACCACTCGCAGTTTCTCTGGTTTTTTAGGGTGGTATACGCCATGGTGAGGAATATACCAAGCTGATTGTCTATCAAGCTCCTCTTCTGGGACCCTTTCTGCTTCACCACGACTGATAATGTCCTTCATGAAGTTCATGTAATCTGCCTGATATTTCTGGTCTCTCTTGAGCCTCCTCTCCAAGCACTTAAGGCGTTGGACGGCACATGGTTTGTTATTTGGTAACTCTGGCCTACTCTGTTTGAAAGGCAGAGGCATTTCAAGATGTCCGTCTTCTTTGTGTCTAATTTCTTCTTTCATTTTGGTCAAAAACTGGAGATCATCTTGCGAAAGATTTGCCTCTTCTCCAAGTCTTTCACTGGAGTCCGATTCCAGCACCTTAAGTACGTCTTCTGGAGCAGTCAGTTCTTTAATTCTTGTTTTGAAGACATAATGAACGTTGCTCTTCAGATTACTTGTTACTTTGGGTTCAGGTATCACTTGCCTTACAATGATGCGGTGACTTACTCCAATTGCATCACTGTAGTTTTCACTTGGATCACCATAGCTTACTATGCTCCAGCCTACGTCAGTTTTCTGTGCAAAGGGCTGGTTGTCCTCACCACATACAACTTCTCTTGGCATCAGTGCTTGTGGACAGTTATACCCAATAAGAAGACCGATTTCACAGTTCTTCGGTGGGGCAATATGTTCTGCAAGATGCTCTAAATGAGGCCATGCCCTTGCTGTCTCAGATGTTGGAATGTGTGTGCGATTGGCAGGTATGAATTCACGAGTGTAGACCGTTGGCACTGTGATCTTCTTAGAAGAAGATAACCCTCTTCTTTGTAAACCTTTGATTCTTTTGCATGGTACAATTGTTTCCTTGGACGACATTGTGGACAGCTTCAACTTGACTGGCTCTGCATTAACATCAAGAGCATCCACTACTTATTCAAGAATGAATGAAGAGTCACTTTGTGAATCTAACAGAGCATAGACAAGGACCTCTTTATTTGAATTACCAGGCATTGACGCATAAACAGGAACTATTGCTGAAGTCTGAGCACTGTTACCATCATGTACAACTCTATTGGATGTGGTTTCTTGAATGGTGTCTTGCAGCGATTGTAGCGTTCTTCCCTTAATGAAAGAATATTTTCTCTGAACTTGAAATATTTTTCCTTTCAATAAGAGTTTGGAAGGATGATTTCCAATGATTAAACTTGAGTGGATCACCATTAACAACTGTGGGCTCTGGAATGGGTAGCCTATTTGCTGATATAGCCTCAGCTAAGACTTTCACAAGCTCTCCTGTGCTGTCTTGAAGCACATGTGTTGGCACTGCATCCTTTGGTGATTGTGAGTGCCAGTTGTCAGATTTCATTTGGTTGCGTGGCTGCATAACCTTATGTAGATCTAGGCTCTGTGGAGCATTCCCTTGTGCTGGGCTGAGCTCATTCTCATCATACACCTGAAGCCTTGCTTTGGCTGCATTCATCCTTTTCAAATTCTCTAAACGATCAAGCTCTCTCTTTAGGTTCTCTACAGACCTCTTTCTTGCCGCATTCTCTTCTTGCTGTTTCTTTAAGAGAGCGGCCTCTTGTTTCTCTTTTTCTAGCCTGCGTTCGGTTTCTTCTCTTTCTCCTTCAAGACGACGAGCTAATGCGGCTGCTTCTTGGTCTGCGATGATCAACCTCTCTTCAGCTTCAAGCTTTTGCAGCTTCTCTTGGTGGTCCTCTTGTTCAGCCATAATCTGCAGTACAGCCCGTGTAGCTGCATACTCGGCAGCAGCTTCTTGTCTTCTAAGTGAAGATACATTTGAGCGAATAGAAGATGCTTTAGAACCATTAGAGGCAGAAAGTGAAACACTGGAAGTTGAAGATGCGAATACAGAACTGTGATCTGGCCAAATCAACTCCTCAGCTGTACCCTGTATCTCAAATTGAGCATTTCGTAATACAGTCTTGGTGATCGAGATGCAGTTATCCATCTTGCGACGCATGTCATGGGATGGTTGATCAATTTTTCGGTAGTCGTCATAAGCAATGTTCAATTCAGATAATTCCCTTTGAATACCGATGATGTGTTCTTGTAGGATGTCACTAGGATCCTGTTTTAACACAGATCTTTTAGCTACCTTAATTAGAGCTTTCCATCGTTCATATTTGCTGTCAAAGCGAAGCGCTAGTCCCTTGATTTGCTTTTTCTGAAACTCCTTTCCCTTTTCTGTTAATGTCCGGGCTCTTTCACTTCTACGAGGCTCTTCAGGTGGTGCTATATTTTGCTCGATATTTGATTCATCTGTCTGCTCTAACTCGGTCTCTTCTTCCAGAGCAGCTGCTGCACCCTGAGCTTCTTTACTTGTATGTGACATTTTGATTATTTGTACACAGGCAACATACAAGAGCAAGCTGCAACACTATTTGTCAATGCTGAATAAGGGGCTTAACTAACTAAAGTCACTCTCCATGTAGCATATTACAGAGTAAGTACACTTAACAGAGTTCTTCTTATAACCTGTCACACACCGAACTTGTAAAGACACTGAACCGTAAATACAAACTGGATATCTACCAAATGTACAAGGTGTACTTCTGCTCCTTAAGAGCCAACTATTATTATTCAACTGAACATGAATTTACATGTCTTACTTAAGTGCACATTCATATACGTGAAACACCGTGGCTGCCAGGTTATACACAGTCCCTCTTAGTTTTCAACTCTTGTGTCACTTTTCAGACCAAAACTTTAGAGTCTGACTTATAGACTTCTTCATGAAAACCTTATGAACCTGTGTGGCCTAAACAGTGGCTTATCTAAATGGTAAATGGCCTGTATTTGATATAGCGCCTTCTAGAGTCCTGGAACCCCCCAAGGCGCTTTACAACACAATCAGTCATTCACCCATTCACACACTGGTGGGGATAAACTACAATGTAGCCACAGCTGCCCTGGGGCGCACTGACAGAGGCGAGGCTGCCGAGCACTGGCGCCACCGGTCCCTCTGACCACCACCAGCAGGCAACGTGGGTTAAGTGTCTTGCCCAAGGACACAACGACAGCGACAGACTGAGCGGGGCTCGAACCTGCAACCTTCCGATTACGGGGCGAGCACTTAACTCCTGTGCCACCGTGTTCCCGTCTTGATGAGCTGCCGAACTTGCGCTGATAGGGCATGTTTGGGCCTTGAGTTTGACTTTCGCTCCCTCCGGTTAATAGACGACACCACGGTTCTTCATTCACTGATGGATTTATTCTTCCTTCACACTTCTCCTCCAAAACACCATTAATCCACCGTCAAACTCGCTGGCTGCACGTAACCATAAGGGAGTGAATCCGCTTCAGGAACAAAACTTAACAAAGATAATTCGCTGGTTTCGTCTTCGTCTTCTCTACAGCTTTCCCTTACTTTAAACTGCTTATTTATTCATTCCTGTGACTGCATAGGTTATAGCTTAGCTTCTTTTCACATGCTCTTTTACTTCCCTTTCCGTCACCCAAAACGGGCCGTGCGCAACACAGCATGAAACTTAGTTCCTACCCCAAAAGAAACAACAATAGACCAGGGAAATAAGATACATACATAACACAATAAATTCAAACAAATTGACATAATTTACATTGTGGCAGTTAAAGTTCTATTAATTAATTAAGCTGTTTAAACAGATTAAGCAGATTAAAATGTCTGTACTGCAGTCAGATTCCAGCAAGTTTTCACAGGCTGTGTTTTAACAATTTGCCTTCATTTAAAGTTTTGATAAAAATGTTGTGTTAAAGATAATTTTTTAATAAGATGTGTTTTCTCTTGGTAACATGTTGTCATGACAACAGTTTGCCATCGTCTTCAAGACTCCGAAGTATCGAGACCAGAACCTGCAGAAGCCAACATCGGTGTTCGTCCAGCTGAAGAGGAAATCTGACAACGAAACAAGCGAGCCTAAACCCTTTACTTACCACCCTCAGGTCATAGGTACGTCTCTGACTCCGCCCTCCCTGACTCTGCCTTCAGATTTTGACCCTTTGCACCTACGTCAACTAATCATGTGGGTCCACCATGCTGGACGGCAAAAGCATGTAAACAGTGAGCGACGTGTACTAAACAAAGGGAAAAGTAGAGCCTGAAATAGTTTTTGTTGTCGTTTTTTGCGATTGTTGGCATTACTTTATCAGAAGGAATGCTATCAGAAGAAGTAGCGCACCTAGGCGGGGCTCATAGATACCAGGATTTATGAAAGTTAAGTGGTAACTAGCTTACGTACGTTAGCTTAAGTTCTTCTTGCGGCTGTTCAACGGTGCAAACAACTTTCTGATTTAGCCAAAATTCACCCACTGGATTTATGACATATAAACAGCATTTCACTTTACACTGAAGCTGATTTTTAAAAAGTCCAGATCTCTACCAGTTTTTGTTGCTGGCGGGGTCACCGGGTTCAGCTGCTTCTCTCACACCGGAATGAGAAGATCTTTGAACGGCGATGCTCACACTAAAGAAATAACGTAATTTTAACACGTAATCATACATTGGAGCAATAAAATTGTAAATAATTATTTCACTGTAGTGAACGCTACCGCGCATCCTCCGTGGTGAAAGATCCATCCATCCATTAGGATTACCAATAAGTAGCATCGACACGTCACACACACTCATCCGTGTCCCTGTCCTCCTCATTAAATATATGAACGTTAATCTTAGCTGGTAAAAACACTTTTGCTGCAAATCCGAAGAGACTTTGAGGGCTTCTAGTCTGTTTGATTGATTGTGGCAGTTCATCCCTGTCATCAGTCTCCATCAAAGTTATTTGGACAAAAAAAAAATGGTTTTGTTGATTTTACATCCTTGTCTGTTAGTGCAGCCAACCTCGCAGCAAGCTGTTACCATTTTACTGTGAAATCGACTAAAGTAAAGCAAAAGACTTTAAAGTGAGTTGCTGTGTTTCACCCTGATCAGCCTTCCTCGGTTCGTTTTGTTGAGTTAGTTGATCATAAATGTGAGACGGGAGGTTGATGCCTTGCTCAAAGACTGGTGTCTGTTCAGACAAGGAAGAGGTACAGAGGAAAAGGCAGAAGACATTGCCAAACTTCCAGGACTTCAGTGGTCACGGAGGAGGAGGTGGTGGAGGAGGAGGAGGGCTGTACCGAGGAGGAGGAGGTCCTGCAACAGGAGGAGGTGAAGTCCAAAACTTTTTAGGGCGCCATTTTGTTTTCATCAGAGAAACGTTTGTGATCTGATTGTCTTTGTTTTTTTTTTCAGGATATTTTCAGGGCTTTGCCTCTTATAGCTATGGGGGAGGGGGAGGAGGAGGAGGAGGTTTCTCCACTGGATACTCAGCTGGTCTGGGAGGAGGAGGAGGCACCAAGCATGGTAAGGAATCAAACCAAAACTCAAAACCTCCTTTCACCAAACAATCCACTTGGAGAGGATTAAGGATGAGGACTGACTGATGTTTTTATTTCTGCAACAATGTGCAGATCTTTACAGCGTTCCCACAAACAGGGACACCTGGAATTTCATACGTTCCTAAAGGAATAAATAAATGTGTTTTTGTGTTGAAGCTTCTGACAGCGACACTGCAGCCGACGACAATGATTCAGACGATGACTCGTCAGGGGACAGACCGAGAGCTCCAGCCATGCCTGGAGGGCTGGAGGAGGGGGAGAGTGAGGAGGAGAGAGTCAGAATGGAGCACGAAGCAGACAGAGGTTTGTTTCTTTCCCATCAGCTGTGATTTTTGCAGTTTATGATGTTTTATTTGATCTGTACTCTGTGTTGTAGAGGATCAGCTGGTTGACGTGACCTGCAGGCAGCTGGATGCGCTCTTTCACTACTCTGTCACAGGTGATTCAGCTTACCTGCTGGCTCCGCAGCGCCCCCTGATGGCAGCACAGGACGAGGACGGAGACACGTCAGTCCGATTCAGACTCACTCACTGACCTGTAACTGTTGCTCTGTAAAATTAAAGCCTCTCTCTCGTGTTAGTGGGCTGCACCTGGCTGTTCTACACAGCCAGCAGGATGCGCTGATGAGTCTGACGCAGGTGGTGTCTGCTCTGCCTGGAGAGGAGGTGCTCAATATGAGGAATCACCTGTACCAGGTACTGAGTCTTTGACAGCTGATGGATAGAGCTGGATATTCAGTTCACAGTTAAACTAAAATTCTCTGATTTCAACTAAGTGGCAGAAATCTAAACTATAGAAAAGTAACCAAGCTCAAGCAGCCTTTTAACATTCACTACAATTTCCAGACTCCTTTGCACCTGGCGGTGATTACTCAGCAGAAGGAGGCAGTGGAGGCCCTGCTACTGGCTGGTGCTGACCCGACTCTTACAGATCGCCATGGCAACACAGTGCTGCACCTGGCAGCTCAGCAGGAAGGAGGCGGCATGGTGGGGTTCTTACTGAGACGCAGAGAGTTAAGAGAGCTGCTGCAGTGCTGCAACTCTGCAGGTACACACACTAGTGTTGTCAAAAAAATCGATACCTAGATATAAATCGATACTAAATGTGGTATCTAAATTAGATATTCCATCCCTGTGTTATGGACTGTATTATGGACTATTATACACAGCCTTCTTCAAGTACACCGACACGCACGACAGCCAGATGCCGTAAAGCAGCCTCTGCCTCCCAGACAAGCAGAAGAAGAAGATGCCGCATGGCTACATTGCAATTTCCCACGCAAGTTGTCTCCGATCCAAGTTTTGTCTGCCAAATAAATAAACTAAAACATAAACAGCGAATTTGGGAGGCGCTTCACAGCCCAACTTAATTAGCATACCAAGTCCGACACGTAGTTGTATATTTGCGCATATATGCTTAAAGGAAAAGTCCCGTTTATTGCAACCCTGACTTAATTTCTAGCATGCAGTACGTTTGTTTACTCAAGTTGACAACTTTGGTGCTACTTGGATTCCCCGGGGTGTTTAGATCCATCGGCGAATCGCCATCAGTGTATATCCATATAACGGGTGCGGACGGGCACCCATGGTGCAGCCTCGAAATAAGACATTATCTGCACCAAAACATCTCAATGTCGAAAGGTTTTTTTTAGGAATCATTAACGTGATTCCCCTGTTCGTTTGGAGCGAGTCTGGGATTTCTAGGCGTGAACAGACTAGCCGCGGCTAACCGGCGCTTTTAATGACGTCACTGCCGTGCGCCAATCTGTTTTTATTAAGATTACCGGTAGATGTACCTTTGTCCTACTGTGGAGAAATTAGTTTTCTCCCTTTATTGACCAACAGAATTGTTCAAAAGTACAGAACAAAACATATAGCATTACATCTTATGACAAAAATGCACCTTAAACAGAGTTTAAGCAGCAAAACATCACTCTGCAAATAGTGTATATATAGTGAGGCAATACATGATTTAAAGTGTTAACTTTCGCCAGTTTTTGTATGCACGTTTTAAAAAAATGCTGATACTTGAAAGGTTTAAGCACTTTATACACTTAATTCTTAACATTTAATTTTTGCAATATAAATTGAGGAATGTTATTTTTTGAATAAACTTGTCCAATAAATCGAAATCGAGTATCGAGTTTCTTTTCCAGTATCGAATCGAGTTTGAAATTTTAGTATCGTGACAACCCTAACACACACACACACACACACACACACACACACACACACACACACACACACAGACACAGACACACACACACACACACACACACACACACAGACACAGACACACACACACACACACACACACACAGAAGGAAAAACAAGGTCTCATGTGCTGTGTCTCTATGGTTACAGGTATGTGTGCCATACACCTGGCAGTTCTGGCCAATCAGTTTTCCTCTCTCAGAGAGCTGCTGGAGGGTGGTGCTGATGTGGAGGCTCAGGAGCGTAGTTGTGGACGGACTGCCCTCCACCTTGCCACAGAGATGGATAACGTGTCGCTGGCCGGCTGCCTGCTGCTGGAGGTACATACCGACCAATCAGATGAAAGCTCTTGTTTAGGGGTTTCCGTCATATTGTTTCTTTTTTGGTGGTAAATATTTCCTCTATGAAATCAAATGTCATAGTATTATTTTAACAAAATAAGAGCAGCAAGTATGCATTTGTGTTTCCAGGGAAACGCCATAGTGGACTGCTGCACCTTTAATGGCTCCACCCCTCTCCATGTGGCCACGGGGCGGGGCTCCATCAAGCTGACGGCTCTCCTGATGGCTGCAGGTCAGTAATTTTTTTTAGATTCCTCCTCCAGTTTGAACCAGATACAGGATTTCTTATGTTTGTTCTTGAACCAGAACCCAAATAGAATCTGAGAAACATGAAGAGATGTCGTTATAGATTTGGATGGGATGTTGGTACAAAGCCAGGACAGAAAACTTTAGTCAATGGAACTGTCAAATGAAAAAATCTTTATATGTGGAGAATTGAACCAGGATCAAGGTGTGATGGTTGGACATTTGGGTCAGATGTCTCTTCACCTGCTTCTCTGTGGAAGGCCCTGGTCTGCAGAACCCTCCAACAAGTAGTTAAATGCAGACGAGGGTCAGAGACCAGATCCAAATGCTAAAAGTATTTCTTAAAAGCTAAATTAAAGCTGTTTCAGGCGCGGACCCACAGAAGGAGAACTTTGAGCCACTGTTCTTCAGAGAGGAGGTGGAGGACGAGGAGGGAGGCTGTAATGAAGCTGATGAAGGTTACATCCCAGGAACAACTCCTCTCAGCATGGCCACCAACCCCCAGGTACACCTGCAAGTTCTGGATCCAGACCTAGTTCAGACGAGGAATCATAAGGTGGTGATAATCCTCTGCGTTTGTGACTTTGTGTCTTTAGGTGTTGGATCTTCTCAAGGGCAAGGATTACGAACCAAAGTCTCCTCATCATGTCTTCATCCCTCCTCAAGGTGAGCTCCACCTGCCACAGCTCTAGAACCTGAGGGAGGAAGGTCTGATCCGATTTCACAACAGATTTTATTGTGTGTGTGTGTGTGTGCATAGGTGACCTGGCCAGCCTGGACATGAAGGTAAAGCAGGCGGTGTGCAGCGCAGTGGAGAGTGAAGGATGCTGGGAGAATCTGGCTCACAGTCTGGGTCTTGGAATCCTGAACATGGCCTTCAGACTGAGCCCCTGCCCCACCAAGACCTTGCTGGACAGCTACGAGGTAACTTTCACAGGGCCTGGGCCCAGAAGTGAAGTTCTTTTGAACCGTAACAACTTTTAGATCTTGTCTCTTTTTAATATCAGAGCTTCACAACACGGTTCTGATTGTTACTCAGACTCTGTAGGAAGGAGGAGATGAGGATTGCATCGCGAGTTTAGAGAGAGGCGGAGCTCAAGCTGTCTGCTGGATGTTTTTTATGGTCTTGTTGGAGCAGAACTAGTTCTGAGACCTGTTTGTTATTGGTTTGCAGGTTTCAGGTGGCACCATTATGGATCTGCTTGCTGCTCTCAGATCAGTGGGTGGGTGCAAAGCTCTGAGTATCATGGAGGAGGCACTGTGTTGCAGCCAGGAACCGAGTGGTGAGTGGGCCATCAAATGACTGTATGCACATCAGCCGTCACCATGGCAATAGGTCACTCAGCTTTGTTTGTGTCTGCAGGGGAGCCTACACACACTCCGGCTGTGGAGCTGAAGGTGGACGTTCGTATTGACAGTGGGGTCTGTGACAGCGGGGTGGAGCTTTCCACGGCGTAGCTGTCTGACTGGTCCGTCAGCAGCTTCAGCCATGACTCCAGACACGTCTCCTTCTCCTCTTTAGCACCGCTCAGACATTCTCTTCAGGCATTTGAGACTTTTTTTACGAAATGAGATGCAACCTGAAAGCTAAACCATTGTTTTAACAGACCAAAAAGATAAAAGGACGCAACTCTACTTCCTGTTTCTTGTTCTCAAACACCTTCTGTCTAACCAGCAAGAACCTCACAGGACATTTGTCCCTTCTCTTTAAAGCTACCAAATGGTTCTGTAGGCAGAGCTTGGCGATGAAGACGAGGGTCTGATGATGCTGGAAAAGGTGCTACTGAAACAGAACCGATTGTAAAAAGGTGCTGGACTTTGTGATCTGAGCTCTGAGGTAGTGTGTCACGCTGGAGATCTGTTGGTGTTGCTGCTGTGTCTTTCTCTGGTCTTTTCCTGGATGTCTCCCAAACCCGAACCTGGAATGGGCTCATGGACTCTTTCGTACTGGCAGAAAACCGGTCGGAATAAGTAGTTTGGATCAGGATTACCGAGTTCGGTTCCAGAACTGCTGTTATTTAAGTGTTCTTCCTCACACTTCAGAACCAAACCAATTTCAGCCGATTAGTCCAAACGAGTTACAGATGTGATCACTCTGATTTTAGATGACTCTCGTGTTTATGTCAGCTCGTCAGTTGCAGGAATCATCAAAACCCGTAGAAAAACATCTGCTATCAGCTGTTTATCTCAGAAATGAAGAGATTATTATAATCAAAAGGTTCTGATGAAGTGGTAACAAAACAACGGGAAAAACAGGACAAATAACGAGTTCCAAGATGAGTGAAACCGGACCAGAAACCTAATCACTGTTGGTGAGGACCCGGAGCTGCCGATTTGGTAAAGAAGCCTTTTGGATCTTAGTCCAACAAAACAGGTTTGATGGAAGCAGAACCAAAGTCTCCATGTTGGGTCTTGATTCTGCAGATCTGATGATGGACCTGACTGATGAGAGAAACCCCAGATGAGCAGAACCAAAAACACCTGACGGATTATCTCATCAGGTTTTTGTTTTGAGCTGAGTTTAGTTTGTTTCCTACCAAATAAAACAGGCAAGTGAGCATCCTAGCATCAGATCTGATTCCACATGTTGTCCAGCTATTGTCAAACGGACAGACCTGTCTCCACATGGACACACATTTACAGGTGAAACTCAAAAAATTAGAATATGGTGCAAAACTTAATTGTATTAGTTATTCAACTTAAAAGGTGAAACTAATAAACAAGACAGACTCATTACATGTAAAGCCAGATATGTAAAGCCTTTATTTGTTATAATTGTGATGATTATGGGTTGCAGCTTACGAAAAGCCCACATTCAAAATCTCAGACAATCAGAATATTGTGAAAATGCTTTAGACTCAATAATCAGCTAATGAATCCAAAACACCTGCAAAGGGTTCCTGAGCCTTTAGGTGGTCTCTCGGTCTAACTACTGAAATAAACTTTTGCATCATATTCAAATTTTTTATGTTCATCTGTAGTTTTATTGTTCACACATGAAGCGTGAACTCTTCTCTCTGCCTGTTTTAAGATGTGATTTTATGATGTTTTTTTACTGAACATTATGTGTTTAATTTCCTTAACTGACCTTCAGGTATCTTCAGTCTCTTTGGTCGATTCAGTGTAAAAAGAAAGGAAAACGGAAAGGTTTTGTAGAAAATCTAGTCCAGGTGTGTGAGGCTATTTATGTCCTTGTTTGCTCTCTAACTGGTTACTGGTTTTTATTAAACTTGTTTTTATATGTTTAAGTGGTTGAGTTTTAATTTGACTAAACTCCTGTATCTGTTTGTGTTCAACTTTAGAGATCTGAGGGCCTTTCTGGATTCAGAGAACTCTTATATTGCATTTACGGGAACTTGACATCATAAACATTTTTAAAAACCCATTTTAAAGGATGTTTTTCAGGTTTTTCAAAAGCTTCGTTCATTGTTGGTTCGGTTTATGCGGCTACGTCGCCCTCTGGTGGCCGGTGGGGGAGAGCAGCTCGCCTCGTGTAACGTTGCTTCTTTTGAGCTGTAAAAGAAACTTCTCGGTAGGTAAACTGTTTAAGCTTTATAAATTACTTAGAAATTTTAGTTAATGCCAGTTTTTAATTTTGATAGTTGCCGGATGTGACAAGTATTAGCGTTTATTAGCCGTTAGCAGCGGAGCTTCGAGCCAACCCCTGGTTTTGTGTTTTTATTGTATCTTTAACCGGGTAAGGGCATGGTTCACGTGCTTACCAACGACAATCACGCTTTGGTTTTTTCAATGTCAAACTTGGCTAAAATATAAATGAACCTAATGAAAGTTTAATGGGTGGCACCCATGGCTAACATTGATCAAGATGGCGGCATGTCCTGATTTGTTAGCTTTTAATTAATCTCCATGACTGATCTCAATGTTATTGTTGTTGTTTGCCTCAAGGGCAATATGCCGATTATCACTTGTAAATCGCTTTGGACAAAAGCGTCTGCTAAATACATAAACATAATCTCAGCTCAGGTGAGTGGTAACTTTTCCATTGTTGTATTTGAATGGCTACATTTATTGGCTCATGATTTTTTATCTTGAGATGCGCTATATCAAAGATTGTCTCACTTTCTTTCTGTTTTAAGTGGATGAACTTGGACAATTGGAGGCTGACAAAATATTTTTGCCCCACTGTAAATGGCCAAAATACCTCCATAACATTGTACTGTTCAGGCCCTTCTTGTAACTAGTAATTTGTCTTTTTTTCAAGGCAGTTTGTTTTTCTCTTTTGAGTTTATTATCTGAAGTCTAGACCCGCAGATTAAGTGCTGACTGAACATCTCTTATCCTTAGCTATTCATCATCCGTACATCAAAAGCTTCTATCGACCCATTCTCATGTCTATTCTGGAAAAATTATTAAGAGATACATATTATCATTCTCTTGACCAACTCCAACCGCCATTAAATGCAAATAATCCCCTCCCACTTTCCATTCTTTCTGCATATGTCCTCCTGACATCTTACCTTTCCATAAATGATCTAGTAGGTTCCACAACTACATTCAAATGTATGCAGATGATGTGGTGATTTACCCGCACAGGAACAACTCAATACTACACGTCTAGGTTCCAGCCTGGGGAAATAGATGCAGCTTAAAACGCAGTGTTAACAGATCTGGTCAAATGGACCCAATCAAGAAGTTTTACCAGGATATTTATACCTTAATGTCTCAATAAACCACAGGTGAAAACGGGCCACAGAACATTAGTAGCTCAAGGCTTCTTTTTTCATAAGCTCACATATTGATGTAGGCAGCCAGTGTTTTCATATTTAAAGTTGTTCGTTCATAACATTTTCTCATTCTTTCTACTTTGTTAGCTTTTGTATATAATATATAATTGATATTTTGTCCAGTTTTTATCAGACTGCAGAAAAGTTATTTAATGTTGAACATGCTTGTTTATTTTTAGTAATCACACACAAAAGCCCCTAGTACATTTCATTAGTGGATTTGTTTCATATTTATGAATATTTGATTCAGTTCAGTTTTATTTGTATAAAACCTGATCTGGACCCGTTTTGTTTCAGATAAAAGAAGAATGGCTCAAAAGAAGTAGAATCGCAGCAGGAAGAATTTGGTGATGTTTTTTCAGAGTCCTTAGACCAGCAGCTGACTACATCTATCTGAGTTCTGATGATTCTGCATTCAAACAGAGTCATGAATTGATTTTCCTCAGGTGTCTCAAAGAAAACCATCAATAAAAACAGGACAACAGGAAGCTGCAATTTGTTCAACTTTATTGAGAACCGGTGACAGAACCAGTGACAGAATTGTAGTGGGCCGATCAGCTGCGAAGAGTTATTTTTGTTCTAAGTGGAGAACCAGGAGAACCAGGTCAGATGATGGACCAACTAATGGCTCTCGTCTAAAATCTCAAACGGGAACAAACTGAAGAAATGTTTCTTTCTTAAAAGGTGGACAGAAGAAGTTCACATGAGCCAATCAGACATGCACCGCTGAGCAAGTCCCGCCTACCGGAACGGCCGAGTCACCTGCCAGGTGAGTCCGCAGCACTTTTATCGGTTCCACTTCCAGCAGACCAGTGCGGTTTGAAAGCATTTAAAATGAGACAAACAAAAGGTGTGTCAAATGGGTGGGGCTAAACTCAAACGGGTAACTCCTGGGAGGTGGATCACATGGCATACTTCTGAGTCCAGTCCTGAGCTGTCTTGTTGTACCTGAGGAGAGAAAACAGAGTGAAGAGCTGCAGGGAATACACACACACACACACACTGGTTCTTCTTCCTTACAGTAAAATGTCTGAAACTGGGTCCAATCAATATTGATCAATATCAACCAATATGACAATTAATATCGTGATAGGATTTTTTTCCATGTCGCCCCTAGTCTGAAGCATCAAGACTCTCGAAAACAGTCAGAATGATTAAAGTTGATCAAAATAAAATATAAAATCAGCAGAAGTTTTATTTACGGCTAGTCTGACCTTTAGTGTGGGTTCTGAAGAGGACCCGGTCTGCTCACTAGATTTAACATAGTTTCATAAACATGGTCCTTAGTGGTGCATCAAAGCCATGAAAATGCTACAATTTTAATGTTTCATTTTCAATGTTTTAAAAGGGTTTGAAGCTGTAACTGAACTTGGTTTTAAACACAAAAACATCAAATTTTGACATAACATTTGTTATTTTAGGAAAATAAATCAGTCATGTTTTGCTCATTTATGTGGAAATCTCACCACTATAAGGTGATGGAAAACAGAAAATTCACAAAGTGCTTGAACTAGATTTGGCAAAAGTGTAAGAGTGATGGTGAATGTGTGTGTGTTAGAGCATGAGTGTCAGAAGGCTGAACAATAACCTGTAGAATAATTAAAGTCATCATGCTAGAACAGCTTTCTCTGTGGTGGGCCACACCAGCTTCTGCCACAATAAATAATAATAATAAACCACACACAAAGTTCTGAACATTTTAATTTCCTTTTTGAACTATTTCTGTTGAGAGTTTTAATGTTTAAAATCTGTTAAATCTGTGTTACTGACAGCAGCTCCATTTAAGATTCACTTTCTGTTCTGACTGAACGCTGCTGCAGCATGGAGGTGTAGTTCTCAGTCATCCTGGACGTGACCATCCTGAGAGTTTTAGCTGAAAACAGCTGCACGTTTCTGGATATGTTGGAGACATTTAGCCTCTCATCCCAGAGGCTTCTTCCATATTTGGTAGTGGTCAGAAACAAACACACTGGTTGTGCTGCAAGTCTTTTTCTTTTTTTCTCCAAAACATGTTTTTGTCTAAATGAAGGTGATGTTATTGTTCATAGAATTAAAATTCATGTTGAAGTTAAGATTATTTCATCAAGTAGGACCTGTGGTTAGCTAACTCATGTAAAACATGGAATGTCTTCAAAGAATCGGAATCAAAACAAGAAATCTGAATCGGTCGATGCCCAACCCTAATCAGAAGGCTATTTGTTTTTAAGATTTCTTTTCTTAAACATTATACAACTGTTTTGGAAAAATAAAAGGTTTATTATTAACTAACCTCTTCAAGCATTAGTGGAAAAAAGAACTCTAAACAGGAATCAAAATGTAAATTCTCAAAATGTCAAATAGCTTCTTTAAGAAAAAGCAATAAAAGCAATAAGACAAAAAACAAAAATGAGCTCAAAACAAACAGATCAGTGGTTTCCCTGGGTTTGTCAGGGGAACACTGGCAGAAGAGTTGTGTCCGCCCCATAGTTGGACATTTGCAGGTTTAAGCCCCGCTCAGTCTGTTGCTGCCATTGTGTTCTTGGGCGAGACACTTGGCCCAAATTGCCTGCAGGGGTTTGTCGGCGGGATCAAGGTGCCTCTGTATGGCAGCCCCACCACTGTGAGTATGCCTCAGGGCAGCTGTAGCTACACTGTAGCTCATCACCACCAAGGTGTTGATGTGCATGGGTGAATGACCATGTTAAACACCTTGGGGGGTTCTAGGACTTTAGAAGGCACTATATCAAATACCGATCATTTACCAATGACATCATCAGAAAATTCCAGCTGTCATACACCAACAGTTGGTTCTGACTAGACCTGCAGCAACACCTCGTTGTCATTTAAAGCCTCCAGTTGTTGCCTCATGTTAAAACAGCTGATCTGACCTTATATCAGGTGTGAGTTTCTTGATTCAGTTTCACCTGAGAGGGACCTCACCTGACCGGGTCTGTTTTGTAGATGCGTGCAATCTCTGGTACTAACGGGTCGTCTGGGTTTGGATCACATAACAGAGAACAAATGGACAAAAGGACTGAGGAGAGAGCAGAGAGGTAGATCTTCAGACAATTGGCTGAAGGATCAAAGAACTAAACATGGCATTTAGCAGGAGACATTAGATGAAAATTCAGTAAACCTCAGAGACAACAGAACCCCTGTTGCTAACCCCGGTTTCACACTGAAGGCACCAACGGTGCGGAACATCACTGTTTCAAATAGAATCCATTATAGTTTATGGACTGTTTCAAACCAGCAGCGGCACAACAATTTCTAGGCGCGTCCCAGAAGCGGCAGGCCGTGCAGCACCGCTATAGAGGACCGGGTTCTATTTCTGCCGTGAGCTGCTTCTGGGACATGTCAATTTCTGCAGTTAACATGGGACTAAACAGGAAATCACACACTGTTTCAGTGTAAAATTCTCTGTAATTTTCTAAATAAAAGAACTGCAGCGATGCAATTTCATATATATGAAGCTTACATGTTACCTAACGGCTTATTTGATCACAGCTTTGTTCCAGAAGTGCAGTGGTGTGTTTTCATGGCTTTAATCTTGGCAGTGGAGAGGACAACATCAAACGGCGATATAAAACATGATTTCCTTCTTTTTGGTTTAATGGCAGATTGCATAAACAAACCGTGACCTGAAGTCTTGAGGGTTCGTGTGATCTCGCGAGTCCAGCAAAAAGCACAGAGAGGAAGCCGTGCCACTGCCAAGACTCTCCCGGTGTGAAAGGACTGCTTTGAAGTTTGCGAGTAAACCACTCCACTGCCGTTTTTCGCCACTGCTGCTTCCAGTGTGAAACCGAGGTAAGAACCCAGCATCAGAACCACTCAGTGGATCAGTAATCCTGATTCTCTGTGGACCTTAATTCCATTTTGAGACAACTAGATGTAAAGACTGGTGACTGGGTCCCATTTCTGACTAGAACTTTTAAAAAGTTTTAAAAGATAGAAGAATTGGATCAGAACATTAAACTGGAGAGAATAAAACCTAAAGCTTGGTTCTCCTTTGACAATTTTATAAAGAACTGATGAGATGATTCAATTCAGCCCATTGGATTAGAACTGTTGGACTTGGTCCCATTTCTCTTTTAGATTGGGTTTATCTGAATTCACTCTAGTTATTCTCTCCTGTTGGACCCATGTGGTTCTGACTGAGTTATGAACCTCCTATAGCTGATCAACTTTTTTTTTCTTTTTTCTTCCATTAAACCCATTTCAGTGGTTCAGAGTGAACTGCGCCTGGGTTTGGTTCTTACCTTTAGAGATCGTTAATGCCGGAGACCACTGAGATCTCAAAATATCCAGGCAGATGCTGCCGTTACTGTTAATATTTGGGTGATAAATTCTGGTTGTGAAGGCGACCTGGAAGAGGAGACAGAACCTTTCAAGAAAATCGTCAAACACAAACGGGCTAACAGGAAGTTGTTGAAAGGAAACAGAATCTACTGACCTTGGGTGGTTTGAAGGGATAATCTGTTGGAAAGTGAATAGTGAGGAAAAACACACCGCCCTGGTATGGACTGTCGGGCTGCAACAGAAGTGAGAAACTCTGAGTGAACGATTCATCAGAACACAACAGGTGGAATCCCATCATGAAAATTTTAAATAGAGAAGAAAACTGATATTTTCTTAAATTATAAATTACTACATTGACAAAGGAAAACAATTATAGCCTTGAATTATTAAAAAAAAAGTTTAATTTGTAAAAAAGGGAAAAAAAATCTTTATATTGAAGTAGGGCTGGGCGATATGACGAATTTAGACCGTTTTACGATCTACACATCTGACGGTCTGTCATTTTTGAGAGACCGTTTTATCACGATTCACAGCTCTGCTGTTGAATTTCTGCCTCTGAATGAAAATGGAACTTACCCCAGGCAAATGACACGCCTTTGTTTGACCCTTAACCAATCAGAGTGAGTCATAGTAATATATTAGTGCCCCGCTTGTTTTCATTTGTGTGTGAGCAAACATGGCTTCGCCGCGGCTGAGCGACAACGAGGTTTTCGTTCCGAAGAGGAACGCAGGGTTTCCTTAGCGCGCGGCGCTAACAACTTAGTGACGTGACATGTCTCGGAGAAAGCATAAAAACACGTTGGACGCTTCTTCTGAAGCAGGAAAATAACACCGCTTCTTAAGCAGAGCACGACGCCGCCTCGGCTCGTTCACCCTCTGCCGAGCCGGTGTCGGTACCGGACTGAGCTCGGTCACTGGGTCGCTGGAGCTGCCCCGTGACTGCCTGATGGAAAACCAGCGGGTTTCATCAGACTCGTAGTTTCTTGTTTTTGTTGGGGACCTCCTGTAATTTACCGCTCCCTCCTGCAGTCTTCCCCTATTAACATTTAAAATGATTCTGTAAATCCGCGTATCAATAGAAAAAATCTCTGCCTCTGCCAGCTGCAGTAAATGTAGTTTCCAAATAATAAGAGGTGCACTCATCTGTGTGTCTCCTTTGATCCGCATTAGTGATATTCTCAGCACCAGAACAGTGAAGCAAAGAAAGATTCCTGAGTTTGTTAGTAATTTTATTTATTAGGTGCATCTAACCTGTTCTATTTTTCTCTGAAATGAGATCAAATCAGTGCTTCTATGGGTTGTCTCCAATCTCCACTGGAAAAATTTTACTTTATTTAGAGACTTGTTGCAGAAAATATTCAGAATGCGCAGTTATTTGCAACCACAAGCGATCTCTGGTCCAGTCGCACATCAGAGCCGTATTTGAGCTTAACTATCCACTACATGAGCAACTGGGAGCTACATAGTATTTTGAACAAGTTAATGTTTGCACAATACGTTTGCAATTGACATGTTTGCACTTTAAATATGTTTACGATTTTAATTTATGTTAAGTTACTTGAAAAACGAGAAAAAACTGATTTTTGTAATTGTTTCTCTCAGGGCTTTTATCATCTCTGGTGTGAGTTTAAAATATAAGTGTGTTAGCACTGTGTTGATTATCCCTAATATGAATAAATGTTTATTTATTCAATGTTTCTCTTCTTTTATACGCAATTGAAGTTATGCTATTCATGGATAAAAAATCGTGATAAAATCGAAATCGTGATAAAATATTGGAAAAATCGTGATATTCTATTTTTGCCATATCGCCCAGCCCTATATTGAAGTCATAAATTTACACAAAAGGACATGTAGATATTGTCTAAGGTGTGTTTGGGAAATTTACCAGAAAAATAATTATCACAATTTTATGAAAAACAACAAATGATACAATCCCAAACTTTATTTCCCTTATAGAGAACCCGGATGCCTCCTCAAAAACTCCATCAGTCATCTGATGTTACAGTTTCCTGTTTATGATTCTTTCAAAGTAATGCTGGACAATAACTGTGCCCGAATCCACGGGAAGGATGCTTGTAAGAGTGCATTTTGAGGTCGATGACGTCACAGCGCAGCGACAAGTACTGTCCGAATTCCAATTCTCGCGTCCTCGCTTCGCCCACATTTCGAGGACGGGTCTGTTGTACCCTCACAGAACAAGGCTATCCCAGCATGCTTTGCGTGCCGGCTGTGGATTTTCAACAGGAAGAGAAAATGGGGAGAGCTACGAAGTTTTAAACGTAAGTTTGTTAAAAACTAGCTGTAGAAACCTAAAAAGCTTAAAGCGGTTCAGTTTATAGACATTTTTCGTTTGTATATTTGTTCTTTAAATTACATTTTAGGCAGAAATCAGCCAGAGTGTGTTTGTTTCGCGGGTCCCAGTTATTCCTGTGTGTGTGTGTGTGTGTGGTGAATTAAACTTGTCATTTGTTTTAAGGACAACAGAGCAAAGAGGCGTTTTTATTCAGCTTAGAGGTGAAGAGTGAAGCTGTTTACACACACAACCACAGTAGTTGTGCTGTGTTCTGCTGTGAAAAGTAGTTTTACATTCAGGGATTTACACAGCTGACACGTTTTAATGAAGTAAAAAGTGTTTATGTGAACAATATAATTTTTATCTTCTCGTGTGGATAAATGTAAAAATGTGTTTATTGCCTTTTTGTCACCTGTGATCTGATTTTCTCTGTTTAGGACTGCAGGTGTCCAGGGTTAGGAGAGGCTTTACCTGGTGGTCCTCCTGGGAGAGAGGCCTTCTACTGTCATCATGTTATTTAGCTGTTTGATATTTTAACACATTTATTAAAACAAATACTAACTGATAACTCTTTCTGGTCATTGATTTTTATCACCAGTTTTATTATTACACGTTTTTGAACATGTTACAAGAACAGAAAATGAAACGATGGTAAGGAGTGCCTGTGCCTATCTCCAGCGGTCAATGGGCAATCAGACGGGATACACCCTGGACAGAGAGCCAGTCCATCGCAGGGCAACACAGAGACACACAGGACAAACAATCACACACACACACACACACACACATGCACCTAAGGACAATTTGGACAGACCAATTAACCTAACAGTCATGTTTTTGGACTGTGGGAGGAAGCTGGAGTACCCGGTGGAGAACCCATGCATGCACAGGGAGAACATGCAAACTCCATGCAGAAAGATCCCAGGCCGGGAAGGGAACCCAGGACCTTCATGCTGCAAGGCAACAGCTCTAACCACTGCGCAGCCCCGACTAAGGCTCCTAAAATAGATTTAATAAAGACCAAGTTCACTAGTTTGTTCAACAAAATTACTGTCATCTCTTAGCCTAGAAATCTAGACAGATCATAGCAATTAAAAAAATATTTCCTCTGCATGTTGGGCTAGCCTCATTCCATCAGGGCCCCAGCAGCCCTGAACAGTATTGTGTCTTGCCAATCACAGCGCTCGATCAGTTTGGTGGGTGGGATGTTACTGAGTGAAAAAACTAAGATGGTGACGGCTCGTTGGAAACAGCTTTGGCATAAACTTTGGACTATTTAGACTTGAGCTTTTCTTTGAGTCAAGAGCAAATAGATGTACTCAAGTCCTTTATTTAATCTTTTTGTTCATGTGCTCAGAACTTTTCACTTACATAGGCGCGGTGCGGCGCCACACCTGAGCCTGTGGCGGAAACACTGGCCTGTGCAATACCAGTTGTACATTAGTACAACTTATGCTGCATATTTCTGGAAACCTAAGTTTCCTTTTTAATTGTTGTTTTTAGTGGTTAAAGTTTACAACAGCCTCTTATAGCAAACAACGCTGGCAATCTGCCGCAACGCTGAGCCGACATCAGGGAGCCTTAGGTAAATTATAAATGATCAGAATGTGGCACAATTGTGTCCGTTTTACAAAAGATTAAGTGATGGCAGTATAAAAGAGGTATGGGGCGGTCTCTTTGCTGCAGATTTCCATTAAACTTGGACACAACCAGCGTTTTTTTTGCAATTGAAGCCGTGCTCATTAAGATTTTTTAACAAGCCGCTCCTAAAGGCGGCAGCCCTCCACAGTCCCAGTGTAATCTCTGGTGATCTGAGCTCTAACGGAGAGGAGTTGCCGAAGTTCTACATCGCTCCTGTTTCACATCTGAGCTAATTATTTTAACAAGAGAAACTTGCTGCCTGTGATTACTTTAATTTTCAGTAGTTGCCGGCCAGAGCTCGGCAGTAACTCCCTATGTGATTATGACAACACTCTCTTTTGCGCCAAAGGATAATTTGCATTTACAAGTCCGGCATTGTGGCAATATTACTACCAAGCTTGGTGGAAAGAATGCCGCAAAATTTGTACATCACCATACTACTATGGTGCTGTAACCGGATTACAGGATACAATAAGATAATTAAAAGAAAAAATAAACAAATGGGCCAATAATTAGGTTCGGGGAGAATTGGAGGTTGTTTAAGAATGACTGGAGTCACGGGTATAGCATGAAACGGTTTATATACTAAATTTTAATAATAATGGGAAATATAACACATAAAGATAACACACAAAAACAGATGAAAACAATCGACAATAGTAAATTGGTCGGTATGAGATTTGATCATATGAGTCACAAGTCAGCCGGCGTCAAGTCAAATCCCCACGCTTGGGGTGAAAGTCAGAGTCCGGTGGTGCGATTTTTTCCTACCACACCGTTGAGATTGTTCACAGAAGAGAGCAGTCTGCTCTTCAGTTACTTGAGATGTCATTTAGTTGTGTTTCTATACAGCATTGTGACACCTTGTATATCAACGCGCTCCAACGGTTCCCTCCTACAGAGGATTGGTTCACTCTGTCGTCTCCACACAAATCGCGTTGGTTCCAAGTTCCTAGCTCTTATTAGAAGGAGTCAAGTCCGCCTCTCCCTCTATCTATGCGGCACCCAAATCGGGGTTCTTCACGGCCTCGACCGTTGTTTTTTTTTTCTCTCTCTCTCTCTCTCTCTCTAACCGCTCAGTCTTTGCTTTCTGTATCTGCGTGCTGCACAGCCGTTTGTCTCTCCTCTCGCTCAGCTGCGTCGCACGGTTTTATTTCGCGGAGGCGGGACTTATTTCTCTCAGCCAATGAAATTTCAGATTCCCACCTGGACCAATAGTATACAGCTTTCCTCTTCTGTTTCTGTTAGGGATGTTCAAGATTCTTGTTTTAACCGATGTTTAATATTAAACTCGT